CCTTCTCCGGGGCACCGGAGCCACCCCCGGGGCTGGGGGGGAAACTCTGGGGGGCTGCTCCCATCGCCCCATGTCCCCTTGCCCGTGGAAGGGGCACGGGCACTGGAGCAGCCCCTGGGTAGGGGATCCTGTGCAGGGGTGCCCCCATTGCCCCATGTCCCCTTGCCCGGGTCACCGTCACCACAGTGGCCATTGGGGCTGAGGGGGCTCCCATGGGAGCTGCCCCCCTTGTCCCACACCCCCACACCTGTGTCCTTGCTCTGTTGGGCAGCATGGCCAAAACCCCTCTGGATCCAGGGGGACAGACTGGACCTGGGGCCAGACCCAGCCCAGAACTGGGACAGGGCTCCCGGTATGAACCGAGAGGAGCCCAATGAAGTCCCTGGGAGAGGGGCTCCCTGGGAGCCGGACAACGGAGGCAGCTGTCCCCAGCACTGGCAGTGGGGCCTCTGGATCCTGTTTTGCCATCCAGCCTGGTCATTCCTGGTCATTCCCAGTGTCTCCCCTGCCCCGCTGTCCCACAGGGGGTACTCCAGGGAGGCCGAGGGAAGCTGGTTCCGCTCCCTCTTCGTGCACAAGGTGGATCCCCGCAAGGACGCGCATTCCAACCTCCTCTCCAAGAAGGAGACCAGCAACCTCTACAAGATCCAGTGTGAGTGCTGCTGCCAGGAGGAAGGCAGGCACGGATGGGGTGCGCCCCTCATCCATTGGAACCCCCATTCCCAGATCCTTCTCCCCTTCCCAGCCCCTCTCTCCTGTCCCTGCAGTTCACAATGTGAAGCCGGAATGCCTGGAAGCCTACAACAAGCTGACGTGAGCACTCTGAGGGGTCTTCCCAGCACCCCAGAGGGATGTTGGGGTGCTGTTCTAGAATGAGAGGGGTGGGAGAGGTCGTGCAGAGCTCCTGAGTGAATCAGTGTCCCTGATCTGTGCCTCAGTTTCCCTCCCTGTGAAATGGATGCATCCCCCAGGCTGCACCAGATCCTGTTTGGGCAAACCCTGGGAGAGCAAAGAGGGGCACTGGGAGGGTTTTGGGGTGCTGCCACCCACCCCACTGCCCCCTTCTGTGCCCCCACAGAGAGGAGGTGCTACCCAAGCTCCACTCAGACCCTGACTACCCCTGTGACCTGGTGGGCAACTGGAACACGTGGTACGGCGAGCAGGACCAGGCAGGTGAGGGCAGGCAGCAGCTCCTGGAATGCGGCGGACATTTGTGCCTCTGCTGCCAAAGGCAGAGATTTTGGTGGGATTTTGGGGTGCTGCTCCCCTTCCCCACCCCAAAACCCTCTTTGTAGTGCACCTGTGGCGCTTCTCGGGCGGGTACCCGGCGCTCATGGACTGCATGAACAAGCTCAGGCAGAACAAGGTAACACCACCGGGGTGGGGGCGAGACCCCTGTGCCCGACACCCCTGGCCCGCATTGTCCCCACCCCGAAACCCCCGGCTGGGGCTGTCCCCAGGAGTACCTGGACTTCCGCAAGGAGAGGAGCCGGATGCTGCTGTCCCGTAGGAACCAACTGCTCCTGGAATTCAGCTTCTGGAATGAGCCCCAGCCCCGCCAGGGACCAAACATCTACGAGCTGAGGACCTACAAGCTGAAGGTGGGGGATCAGCCTGTGCCTCATGGGGGGTCTTCAGGCTGATATACCCAAGGTTTTGGGGGGGAAGCCCCCCAAATTCCTCCTTCCTGGATGAGGAGACTCCAAGCCAGGTGACCGGGGGGTTCTGACTGGTTTTACCCCCCTATTTCCAGCCAGGGACCATGATCGAGTGGGGCAACAACTGGTAAGCCACTGGTTTCCCAGCATGGAGGGATCCAAGGTGGGAAAAGCTTCCTCTGGAGATGGGGGGACCCGTGGGGGGCAGGCCCCCCATGTGTCCCCTGCTTCGTGCAGGGCTCGGGCCATTAAGTACCGCCAGGAGAACCAGGAGGCAGTCGGGGGGTTCTTCTCCCAGATCGGGGAGCTCTACGTGGTGCATCACCTCTGGGGTAAGGGGTGTCACCCCTGGGGGACCCCCGGCCTGGGGGGCTCAGGGTGCCAGCCCCATCCTCTCCCCACAGCCTACAGGAATCTACAGTCCCGGGAGGAGACGAGGAATGCAGCCTGGAGGAAGAGGGGCTGGGATGAGAATGTTTATTACACTGGTGAGTGGGACCCCCACCCGCTTTGGGGACCCCCTGCCTGTGCTGGGGACCCCCTGCCCTCACCTCTCTCTCCTTTCCATCCGCAGTCCCGTTGATCCGGACCATGGAATCACGGATAATGATTCCCCTGAAGATCTCCCCCCTGCAGTGATTGGGGGCCCCCGGACTCCCCGCCCGTGCCCTGGCCCTGCTGGGGAAGGGCCGGGGGGCTTCTGCTCCCTCTGGCTCCCAGCTCTCTCCCCCATCCCATTTTGGGGTGCTCTGGGGGATGGAGAGCAGAGAGGGGAAGATGGGAGCCCCCCATCCTGCGGTGGGTCCCCAGGATGGTGCTGCTGGGGGGGCTGGGCAGGCTGTAGAGGGGCCTTAATTGCTCCTGATGAGCCCAGCCAGTGCCTTTGCTGCCAATTAAATATTTAATATGCTAAAGCCTGGGCCCCTCTCGGGGTGGGGAGGGTGCTACTGGGGGTGCTTGGTGTGACCCCCAGGCTGGTGCCACCCATGGGTCTGCCCTGCCCCACATGCTGGATGCTTCCTGCACCAAAGGATCTCCACCCATGGGTGCTGTGGGACCCCCCAAAACCCCAGTGTACCCCCAGTGCTATTGGGGCCCCCTTGCCAAACCCATGGATACCCCCAAGTGCCATCAGGGACCTCATCCAATGTCCCTGGATCCCCCAGTACCACTGGGCGCCCCAGGCCAGGGTCCAACCCAGCCCATGGATACCCCCCCATACTGTTGGGGACCTCATCCCAAGCCCCTGAAACCCTCCAGTGCTACAGTGAACACCATCCCATGACCCTCCAAGCCTATGGATGCTCCCAGGGCCCCTCGGGACCTCTTCCATGCCTTTTTGAGCCCACAGATCTCCCCGGTACCATTGGGGACCCTATCTCAAGGCCCCCCCCAAGCCCATGGATCCTCCCACCATCATCAATGACTCCATCCAGTGCCCCTCCCAAGGTCCTGTGTGCCCTCCACCCCATTTGGGATCCCCCAGTGCCATCAGGGACCCCATCTCATGCCCCCTCCAACCAGTGGATACCCCCAGTGTTACTGGGGACCCCATCCCAAGCCCACGGACACCCATCAGTGCTTCTGGGACCCCTATCCAAGCTCCCCCTGTTTCTGTGGGTGCCTTTCTGCACCAGGAGCCCCCCACATCCCACCAGTGCCCCCAGTGTGGTCTCACCCCCAGGGCTGCCCTTCCCCTCCCGCCCCCTTTGATTAAACAACGCCCCAGCCGCGCGGGCCACGCCCACCAGCCGAAGCCACGCCCCTCGGGTCCTCCAGGGTGTCAGATCCGCTAGGGGGCGCCTGTGGCAGTGGCAGCCTCGCCGCCGCTCCGCGCCGCGCTCTGTTGTCCCGTGACGCCACTTCCGGGAGGCGCGGAAGCGAGGGCGCGGTGAGTGCCGGGGGTGAGCCGGGACCCCCGGGAGGGGATGGAGGGTTTGGCCCCGGGCCC